GCTTGAAAACAGATGTTGCAAACCCGTGTGTGTGTGTGTGTTTATATATGGTTTCGGGACATTCGTTGAATTCCTCCCGAAATCAACAGTTTTCTGAGGATTTCGGCATGCGCGCGCGACGACGCGCGCGTGCGCATGTCGCCCCATTATTTGCAAGTGACTCTCGCAACAGCACGTGCGCAAGGGCGTTCGAACGATTTCGACACGCGCTCGCGAGAGGCCAATTTGGAAACATGTTACGAATATGTTGAAAGCGGATGGCTGTAATGAGAATTCGCAAGAGCGTGGGCGCAAACTTGCTTTGGAAATTCTTGATGCAAAACCATGTGCTGTCGTATGTTTTCGTTGCACTCGATTTTGAAAACCTTATGCAACTCTTGGTTGCCGAAAGAGTTTGGCATGCGCGCGCGACGACGCGAACGTGTGCACTTCGTCCGTGTGTTGCAAGGGATGTTCGAAAAATGCTGATGTTTGATAAACGAGAGCGCGAATTGCTTGTTTCGCAGAAGATGGCAGGGGGTGCTGATACTGGCTGGGCTGGGATGGTATAAAATCATATGTAAAATGGACGAGGGCCAGAACCGTACGCAACTTACGTATCGCGAGGGGGGACCGTTAACTCCGGCTTCGGGGAAGAGGTATGATGTATTGTTCTTCTATAAAGGAGATTACATGCATTGTGCACTCTATGTGGTACAATCTATGTGGTGCGATTCACCTGTGGAACTCCCAGTTGTCAACAACACTGCCCGCGCAAGCATCCCACCCACCCGCCCGCAACTTGTCTTGCAAAACACGAGCGGCGGCGATTTCCATGAGTGATTGGTGTTGGCTGGTGCATCTCTGCGGCCGCGCCAGCCCGCGCATGCACTTGCGCGCGGCGGCCAGCTAGTTTGGCGCGACCGACGCGGCCGCGGTGGAGCTGACCGCTGGGCACATCCCAGCGGGCATTTCAGTGCGAGTCGGCGACGTGGGCGGGCGCGGTATCATTGCAATGTCGACAACACTAGGCACGATTATGGCAGTAGCGATGCTGGTGGCGATGTTGAGAAGGACGACAGCACGGCCAGTGACGGCGCCGATGCTGATCACGCCGACGACGAGGACTGCGTCTTGACGTCGGTGAAGAAGGTTTTGGAAGGAGTTCGACATGCGCGCGCGGCCGACGCGCGAGACTGGCCCGAATGGAATTACGTGACACGGATCGTGCCCCCCAGCACGCGCGCAAGGGCGCGCGAATGATTTCGGCATCGGGCGCCAAAGGCCCGCTGGGCAAAATCCCACCAGCCCTCTGGGCGTCCACCCCTCCTTCTTCCTCTTCGGGAGCGGCTTACCCCTCCCCCTACCCCCTCCCCTGGACCTGGACGGGGGGTTCCGCGAGTCGTCGGAGCGCGTCCAAAACGGCCTCGGCGAGGAAGCCAAAATCATTGGTTTTACTAAGGTTTGGGCCCCATTTTGACCTCCTGGGGGGGGGGGGACGCTAATTCATGTTCCCCTCTTGTTTGATCGATCTCCTCCAAGATGGCCCCAAGAAGCGCCCAGGAGGCCCCAAGAGGTCCCAAGATGGCCCCAAGATGGCCCCAAGAGGCCCCCAAGAGGCCCCCAGGAGGCCCCCAACAGGATCCCAAGCAGCCCCAAGAGGCCCCCCCGAGGCACCCAAGACACCGAAGAGCCCCCAACGACCGCCCAGAGACCCCCAAGATGTCCCAAGACGCCCAAGAGATACCCCAAGAGGCTCCGAGAAGCATCCAAGAGACCTTTGGCCCTTTTTGCTTGCTCTCCTCCTCCTGCTTCCTCCTCATATCCCTTCTCATTATGCTCCTCCCCCTCCGCCCCCTCATCCTCCTCCTCATCATATTCGTCCTCCTTCTCCCCACTCCCTCATACATCCATCCATCCACTTTTCTCCTTCGCCCCCTCTCTCCTTCACACGGTTCGGCCGTCCACCTCTTTGCCCCCGCACTTCCCTGATCACCTCTCAACTCGCCTGGACATCGTTGCTGGATGGGCTGGAGGGCATACGCGAGGCGTCTGGAATGCCACGAACAGGTTGAAATCCGCATGGCTCCCGTAAGAACTCGCACGAGTGCGGGCGCAGGTTTTTCTTTGAAAGCTGCGGTTGCGAAGCCATACGCTGTTAACATGTGTTCGCGGCACTCGGCTCTGGAATCCTTACGGCATCTATGGTTACTGCCGGATTTGAGCATGCGCGCGCGTCGCCGCGCGCGCGTGCAACTCGTCAAGTTTGTTGCAAAGGATCCTCGCGACAGCACGCGCACAAGGGCGTTCGAACGAGTTCGACCTGCGCGCGCGAAACCCGTATGGCTCTATTACGAATTTACAACAAAAATCGCGGGGGCAAGCCTCTCTTAAACAAACTGACTGTTGCGAAACGATGTGTGTCATATGGTTTTGGACACTCGGTTTTGAAATCCTTACGATACCCCAAGTCTTTGGAGGATGACGGCATGCGCGCGCGACGCGCGCGCGTGCACTTCGCCACTTCTTTTGCAAAGGATTATCGGACTGGGGTGTGAGAAGCGAGTGCGCGCGCGTAGTATTTGTTGCAGGGCATGGCGGTGGGGTGACACTTGCCTGCCTGTGATGGTATGAATTCATTTTTCGGGTGCACGAACCAGAATCACATGTACACCCATACGAAACAGTGTACGGACAACCCCCGGGAGGGTATACTTGTTTCTGGGGGGAAGAGAGAATAGATGTGGTGCACTACGCATTACCCAATATAAATTGTGCAACATTTTCATTGTGAAAGCTGGGCTTTGCGCAGTATTTGCTGCGCAATATATGTGAAGCAATCTATGTGGTGCAATATACGTTGTGCAATCTATGTTGTGCAATCTACGTGGTGCAATCTGTGTGGCGCACTTGACTTTATAAACGAGCTGGCACATCCCATGCTCTTGCAAGCATCCCACCCACCCACCCGCGACTTGGTTTTTATAACCCATGCGGTGGCGATTGCGATGAGTGCTTGGCGTTGGCTGGTGCATCTGTGCGGCCGCGCCAGCCCAAGCACGCGCGCGCGGCGGCTAGCTAATGTGGCACGACCGACGCGGCCGCGGTGGCGCTGACCGCTGGGCACATCCCAGCGGGCACTTCAGTGCGAGTCGGCGGATTAGGCGGGCGCGGTGCCATGGCAACGTCGGCAACGGTAGACACGATGATGATAGTAGCGATGCTAGCGACGATGCTGCCGACGACGACGGCGCGGCCGATGCTGATCACGCCGGCGACGCTGACTGCGTCCTGACGTCGGTGATGAAGGTTTTGGAAGGAGTTCGACATGCGCGCGCGGCCGACGCGCGAGACTGGCCCGCATGGAATTATTTGATACGGATCGTGCCCCCCCCCCAGCACGCGCGCAAGGGCGCGCGAATGATTTCGGCATGCGGCGGCAAAGGCCCGTTTGGCAGAATCCCATGGAAATGTTGCAAAACCAATGGTCTGCTGTATTATGTCTGCGACTACTTCTACGACTACTACAACCACTACAACCACTACTACTACTACAACGACTACCACCACTACTACTACTACTACTACTACTACTACTACTACTACTACTACTACTACTACTACTACTACTACTACTACTACTACTACTACTACTACTACTACTACTACTACTACTACTACTACTACTACAACTACTACTACTACTACTACTACTACTACTACTACTACTACTACTACTACTACTACCCTACTACTGACTACTACTACTACTACTACTACTACTACTACTACTACTACTACTACTACTACTAC